CGGATGCTCTCGAAGGATGCTTCCACTACAGTGTCGAGAGCTAACTCGCATGTGCTTTGGTTTTGCATCACTACGCCACTCTCTTGGCTTAGAAAACTCGCGCCATTTTACCACGTGATCAGAAGTAAAACCAAAATTACTCATGACTCGCACGTGCACATTTTCCCGCGCTTAGCGTCGGCTACTTGTATTTGCTTAGAGTTTTGATTGGTTAGGTGGAATTTCTGTGTCTTTTGTGATTGGTCTGCTGGCTGGTCTTTTTACGACCAGCCAGCACTTTGTTCTGTAGAGTTTTGATTGGTTAGGTGCAATTTCTGTCTTTTGTGATTGGTCGGAACGATTACTTGGTTTCAGTCTTACGTCAATTGAAAACCGTTCTGTCGGGTTCTTCTGTAAACCACACTAAACTACTATTTTTCTATATTTTTCTCTCTTTTTTTTCAGTTGTCAGAAACCTGACGACCCGTTTGTCAGCGGTTATAACTGCAACAAAACTACGATCAGCCAGCACTTTGTTCTTTCTGTGTTTCGTTTTGCTGATTCAGCGCCCGGAGATTTTGTTTTTTTCCTCTGCGACGTAGTGCTTTGTTTAACAAGCACTATCAACTCAACGTGCACAACTGAATGTGCTGCTTGTTTCAATGGCATGAGAAAGAAACGTGCTTTGGAGGATCACTCAAGCAAATACCTTGCTGAAGAGCATTTGGTTCTAGGTCCGTATAAGATAATAGACAACTCTGAAGAAGGCAAAAGTGGCGATGATGATGAAAGCGTTGGTGGCGGACAAACAAAAAGAGAAGGTATGTGGCAATATTGATTGTCGGGCATTTTAAGGTCCGCGGGGTACATTTACCATTTAAGACTTTCAATAAAGGAGGCAAACACTCTCGTTTTATGTCTACTTTAATCTACGAGAAACAGGTTTTAGTTTTTTAAACAATATTTTTGGACAACAGTTTTTAGTCTAAACCCTTATTAACTTATTGTATATAAATTCGCTCCATATAAACTTATATTATTACTAATATTATTGTCTGTAAAACTTAAATTTGATTTATGTATTAGTAGAATAAGCGAATTTTTTTCAGTAGCTCCATGTTTGTCCGCCTATGCGCAGAAAGCTTTTTCAACAGTGTACTCATAATCCGTTACCTATGTTACACCCTTATGACATGTACAGAGGTGGGGAACAAAAACCTCCTCGAATATTGCACATTCCATCTTGTTGTTGTTGCTTTTTTATCACAAAGGACAAAGTTCCTTTTTAAATCCTCTTTCTAAAATCAGTTCTAGCGCCTTCTACGTCCTGCATAGCTTTAGAACATCCATTCTTTCTCACGCTCCTCTTGTGATCGGCCTGAAACGACAGGTGGATTTTCGAGCTCATCCGTAAACTACACCCCGTGTGTGTTCTGTTGAATCGAAGGCCAACATTTTGCCGAAAAGGATATACTAGTATTTATACCAGGCCATAGAAAATATCGGAATACAGGAAAGCCGTTGTATATTCGACGGTATTACATCCGACCTTCCCATCGTGCTCTGCGCGTATGTCGCACTGATTCTGTTGGCCACCGTATTTTCTATGGCATGGAATAAAATAGTTATGTAAAGCTCTTTCGTGCTATACCATGGAATATTCCACTTGTCACTTGTATTTTCTTGGTGTACAAACTCGTCTAAAAGCTTATGTGTACACTGAGAAAATACAAGTGACAAGTGTGATATTGCATGGTATACCACGAGAGACCGTTGCGTAACTTGTATATAGTCACGATATTGAAGGGAATATGCACAAAGGGAAAGGTAACTCTCAAGAGTACATGCTGAAGACAGGTAAAGTGAAAAAGAACATCATCAACTATGGCATAATGGTTTAATGTGGCTGTTACTAATACATTTCATCTCATCAGTCTGTTTGTGTCAGAACCGTTCAAGTTTATAAATTTTCTGTCTCTTTTCAGATCCATCCGAGACTATTGCAGACAGTGAAAACTTTCCAGTTACCATGGTGATCATTATCTGTATCAGTTCTTTGGCTGTCATGGCGATAGTAATTGGCTCATTAGTGATGATAAGACTTTCTCAAAGTTCTCGTGGGCCTGCGGTGAAAGATATTACCGCTGACCTCGCCAGGGATAACTTGGCGTTTGATGAACTTGAAGTAAAAACTTTGAGTTTGAAGTCAAGTGATAAACCGATTTCGTCGTGAACTAAAACAGTTACAGTGTGTGCCTAGATTTTTGCAGTGTTAGGAATCTTGACTTGTCGACTTAATGTTGGCAGTAACAACGACATTGTGGAAATACACTGGACTAACTTTTGTTTTTTATCTCTGACACGGTTATTCAAAGGAGGTAAAAGAACTAAACCCAGGACGTAGGCCTAAGGGACTGGTCATAAAGTATAGGTGGTGGGTGGGCTGGAGCATTGGAAAATGAGATGGATATAGAAAACACATGACCCACCCCTTCCATTTGGCACAAAACTGAGTGACCCACCTCTAAATCAAGGTTGAAAATTACATGACCCACCCCCTGTAAAACAGGACATTATTGGTTGCGTAATCCAACAAAATTACATTTTGTGTATGGACTTGTGGTATTATTTACGTTTTAGACTTATTTTTTAACGATAATACAAAAGCATCTAAAGATAAAATTGTTTTCCTTTACTCTTGCAACTTTAAGAACTTGACCGTAAACCTTACACACTCGGCTTCAAGCCCCGCTTCGAATGGAACAGTGATTCATCTAGAAAAAGGCTGAAGTGAATGTTGGGACTCACTCAGCCAGCAAACTTTTATTTTATTTTTATTTTAGTGTGTCTCATGTCTTAGTTTTTTTTTATATTATCGTTGCATATTTGAGAATCTTTCTATATTTTTAATTTATAACACGTCATCTTTTTATTCTGTAAATATTTATTACCCAGAATATTTGTGGCCCAGAGGGCCACTGGTTTTTCAATGATTACTGTTCTGTGTTACCCTCAATAAAGAAAGTTGATTATTCTTCTTATTATAAACTTCTAGTCCTAGGTCCAAGTGTGTAGGTCCCCGCAGACCCACGAACATGAGTCCCCTACCCTTGTGGATAAGTAACATGCAGACACAAGCAGACAATCAGACAATTCATTTTAGTTCCCTTTACCGAATGGAAAAATACAGCAATGAATTGGAAAACAAGGAGAAAAACAAAAACAAACCACCATTTTTGCATTTTTGATAGTTTTCAGTTCGGCATAAAAAGAATGAGGCGAGATAACGTTCTCTATAAATAATTCGTTGCAACACAACAAAAGTGTTGTAAACTTTGCTCCTACCGCAATCAGTGATCAGAGAAGATTTGGTTTTCGACCAAGCGAACCCATTGAAACACGCGGGTACAAATTCGTTTTCTTGAATTACTCGATATCGTGTAATGAAACTGGTGGAAAGTATTTTAGATATGAAAATAGAAATAAGAGTGACTAAGGTAGCAGAGACTAAGGCCTAGCTCAAACGTCGAACTTCACATGAAACGAACTAAATTGCAATTTGACGGTCAATCCTAACGGGTAAAGCCGAACGTTAGGTGAAACGTCGATCTTAATTCGAACTTAGATCGACCAACACGTCTGTTTCACACGCATAGAACGTGCTGGACGATCTAAATTCAGTGGGATGAACTCAGAGTCAAACGTCGAACTTATCATGAACTTAACTCGCTCAGTTTAGTTCGTCTCATGTGAAGTTCGGCGTTTGAGCTGGGCCGGCCTTATTAGCCTTCCTCTACTGAGTGCAGTTACGTTTTACCAGAAACAATCAGCCTTTCTATTTTCAAAAAGCTATAAAGACTTACCTTACTTCAACTTTACTTCACTTTCAAGAGAAGTTAATTACTGAAATACTTTAAAGTTCATTTGCCATAATACAAAACAAAGCAGCAACGGAGCCCATGAAATTACAACTCAACAGCGTTTCGTCGTGTGAATGGTAACACGTTAGGGTTCCATCCACAGTACACCTTCCATCACTTGGTCAATTTTCTCACCTGAACAGAATTGCAGGGAACAACCCAGTTGCTGTAGTAATAAAAGTGTTTAATGTTCATTCTCAGTTTACCACAAGAAACATCTTAGTAGCAATGGTTTTCTTTTCTTTTTCCTTTCAAACACATTTAGTCCATCGCGCGTATTCCATAATACAGTCAAACCTGTTTTAGGGGACACCCTCGGGACCCATGCTAGTCCGCTTAATACATGGTGTCCGTTGAAAAGAAGTTCCCTCAGAATTCGTCTTAAAAGGGTCATATTAATAATCGTCACCATTAAAAGACCTTGAAAGGATCAAATAGCATTCTCGTGAGCGGTTAGGAACTCTGAAATACCGTATTTCCACTGAAACAATAACAAGTTTATGAGGTAAAGCGATTTAAACAAGAACAAAAGTTCTGTAAAAAAAAAAACAAAACAAAAAAACATAATAACAAAATATTGCATTTCTGTGACTGAAATGAAGTATCTATATCTGGGTGAGAATCCAGTTTAAGAAGGTCAAGATTAAAATCTCCTAAGAAGATGCAGAAATTATTCTCCCCATCAATCTTTTGAATAGTAGAGTTAAGAAAATCCATAACGTTTTGCATGTTACCATGTGGATGCCTGTGGGTAGAAATGCAAAATGGATCTCAACGTAACATGATCTGTGGTGTGATTTACCGGCATCCACATAGAAAAGAAAAGACTTCGATTCACCGAGGTAAATTCAAGAAAATC